ATGTAAGGTACTATGGTAAACTTAGATTTATTTGCTTTCCCAGAAAACAAATAAATAACAACATACATGTCAACTTCTACGGYTTGTCCGTAAGTTATAAGGATTTTACATCATTTTGCAGGTACACGGATGTTTAGAGCAATCTATTAAATTTTTTCAAGTCTTACGGATTTTTTCAAAACCTCATCTTCAAATTTATCTAAGGTGTCAGAGACTGTAGGATGATTTAAAAAACAATAAATAACATCAAACAGCCATCTTCCAACCAGTTCTTCCGCTAGAAATAAGTTTTGAACTTTTTCCACTCCCCTCTTCCTGCTTCGCAGCAGAAGCTTTCATGTCTGCATCCCCCATCCCACCCCTGCACCCCCCCGAGCGAGTTGTATGGATTGTTTGCAAAATTTACAGATTTTTGTGGCTCCATATACAGATAAACATCCGAAGAGGTTGACTTGTATGTATCTAACTGATAACAACATTAGAATGTTACCTTTCTGCTTTGTGTATACTTCAAAAAATCTAAAAGCAAACGTCTGAAAATAATCACCTTTTTTCTAATAAGAGCTTAGTTTTATTACAATACTTGTTGTTGTTTTTAATCTGCAGTTATTCTGGAAAAAATGAGAAGACGTTTTTGTGCAGTTGTCTGTAACCAAGATGTTTCGTAATGAATTCTTATAAAACGTCTTAGATTACTCCCAGCATTCCTCTCATTCCTCCTCTGTAAAACGCTGCAGAGATTCTGGCTGGTGTTCCCTCTTCATTTTGCGTCACAAATCAAAAATGTCACTGTGGTTGCAATGTTTGTCTCTACAGCCAGCAGTTTGTCAGAGCTGAGCTCACTTCACGACGGAGGAATCACCGACTTCCGGAACAACTATCAGGCYGTCCAGATGAAGGCGCTCCCACCTATCGCAGACCAGGACACCCTGAGAGCCGGCCCACGCTCTGYGAGTCGAAGGGCCAGGCAAGACAAAGACAATTACTCCGACGATGAACTGGAACGCAGGTTATTTGTTTTGCTGAATTTGCTAATACTGTCGTTTTTCTTGGAGTTGAAATTTTAGCGGACTGATTTTGACGTGTTTCAGGTGGAATCCCCGCTCAGAACACCTGCAGAGGAAGACATTGAGCAGAAGAGGGCGCACCGGCTCCCTGGATGAGCTGGAGGAGTTCGCCCAGTCTTACAGCTCTCGCGCCCGCCGAGCCGAGCCCCCGGACCGGTCCTATGAGCGGGACTACAGCCCTCCCAGGCGCTTTTACCGGGACAAAGAGAACAGCTGGGACCGCCGCAGCCCCTCGCCTCTGCAAAAGAGAAGGGACACGTGGGACAGTGACCGACCTTCTCGACATGCCCTGAGCAAAAGTTACGACGACGGCTTCCTCACGGGTGTGTTGGAGAGGAAGATGAGAGGGCGAGGAGGGGACAGGGGGGCTGGGAGACCAGACGAGGACAGTGACACTCCTTCTAAGGGCAGCTCCAGAGGAAAGGGCAGTGATAGTTACTACAGCCGGTCACCTTGCAACCGACCAGAAGAGGACGACCCATTGCCTCCGTACTCTGAGCGGGAAGCGGAGCGACACCGCAGGACTGAGCTGGCCACAAACCGGTACCGCACCGCTGATCCTCCCAGATCAGAGAGAAGCAGGACCACTGAGTCGTCCATGCGGCCTTTCTCTTACACCCGTCCCCCCCAGGGAGCGTTCCAGACGCTACAAGGGGACAGAGAGGAGCGGGACAGGAGCCGAAACCTGGTGAGTTACTTGTAGCCGGGACAAGGACTTCCTTCCTGCTCGGCTGTGCTGGGAAACAGCCTCTACATCCTGAAATTAACTACAGGAAGAGTCTGATGACGTCTGATGTTTTTCTTGTTGTCAACAAAAAAAAAAAAATCTGTATGAGTCCCACTAGCAAGAGCTGTTTGTTGTCAAAATGTGGGATTACAGTGTGGAAAAAAGTCATAGAAGAGATAAAAGGGAAGAAGTCSTAAGTTGTGTTAAATATCACCCCAAAGAGATACAAAATGACCAGACTTAGATACAAAACAATAATAACTGGTCACCAAGACTAATAAAACCAAGTAAAACGTACCCTAACCCTATCCTGTGGGATTCTCAGGGACAGTTGTGTTGATGAGGGGTAAAATTAAATTTACATTATCGTTGATGCAAACAGAACTAATATGAACACATCTTTTAGAGCAGAGGTACACAACATGRTTTTCTTTTTATGTCAAGTACAAAAACTTAGTAGAGGAAAAATAATTTCTTTATCAACATTAAGTTTTCAGTCATTTTTTTGCTTTGCTAATATGTGAAGAAAAAAAACAGTGGAGAAGTGTTTACATGTCAACCTCTTCAGACATGAATGTGTGMGCAGAGATAACAGCGTCTGCAGCAACGGGGAGGGCAGGATGAGGATGAGTTGGTGGCAAACTTGTTTCCTTGATTAGTCTGAGATTTAATAAATCCGAAGCAAAGATTTTGAAAAACCCGTAACATTGCCCTGTATGTCTGTATACTTGCAAAATGGAAGAGAATTTGAATTTTACGTGGAAAATTTGTGTAASTTAAGAACAATCCGTACAACTTGACATGTATGGAAGTGGTCGTTTTCAAATGAAAATGTTCTACAGACCAGTACTTCTAAATTATTCATTTAGTTTAATTGCTTTTAGAAATAATCGTATTATTTCTGCATGGATAAAGGATCCGTAAACCAGTACGAGTCCTTGGCCCAGTTGTTGTGGACTCTGAACAGTTTTATCATAGTAACGGTTTATTTTTCTGCCATCTAGTGGACAGAATAAGTACTGCAAAATAAAAAGAAATTTGAGGAAGAGCTGTGCTTTTCCACTGCATGTAGGATAAATGAATGACTGAATGTTAGTAGTAGAACTGATCATTAKGTGAAATTTGTTGACAATGAGAAAAATAGAATTAAACTTTTTTTACATACTGTTTTTGTCTCATGACCAAACACCTGATGGTCTTAACACTGAACCAAGTTAATATTTACATTATTTTATTTATGTGCTTTTCCTTTGTAACAGAAGATTCTTATGAATGTAACCTTGTTTTGTAAATGCATAATGACTTCCCTTTCCAACTTCCACAGTCTTATAAAAGTGTCACAGCTTTTTAAAACCCTAAAAAACCCTTTTCGTCTTGAATCAGTGTTTCAGTCGCCGCTGCATGATCAAACTGCAGTATCTTCTTCACTCTCGGCACCGTCTCTAACATGTGGCCTCTCGGTGTATTTCTCTAACAGAGCACCACGCTGAGCAGGGATTCTCTCATTGTGTGACGAGGCCTTCGAGCCTCGACTCGCACGGCGCTGCAGCTGCACACGAGATGCTAACAGACCCACCGTCCGTTGCACGAAGCCCGGCTCGCCTCACTGAAATAACCTCACTGAGAAATAACCTGTGCACAGAGCGACGTGCACGGTTTGCTCTGGTTTGTCTATGAGTTATACRTCTGGAGTCGTGCATATCTTACAGATGATGTGTTTTGTCTTGTWTTGTTGAACTTGACAGTGCCAATAAGTTTTTTTTTTACTATTATTAATATTTGCCAATGTCAAAATAGTTTAGTGCAACAGTTAGCAGCCTACAGTTTTAATCAATCCTCTGCAACTCAGGTTTACAGTTTTTTATATATATTTTTCATTTTGTGACTGTAAGGACTGCACCTTGTTGCAGATTGTTGAACTGCTTAGATACTTTTTAATAAAATAAATTTCTCTGAAAGCCTCTGCATTGTTACGTGAATGTTGATACATTAAACACTGAGTTTTATTTAACGACTGATTTATTATCCCGATGTCTTTCTGACTTTTTTAGAAAAAAATGCCTGATCATAGTCTCTGAGTCATGGGCTTTCCTGAAAGCAGACAGGAAACACAGACAGGARTCCATGCAACCTTCAGGTGAAAATGAAGACCCCAAACCCAGACCCAAACCAGTGGTTATTRCGTATGTTGCGGGTGTTTCGGAGAAACTGAGACGTTTATTTTCTAAACATGATGTCCCAGTYGCTTTCAAACCCCAAAACACATTACGGCAAAGGCTGGTTCACCCCAAAGATCCMYTGCCCCGGCACAAACAGAGCAATGTTGTATATGCTGTTAAGTGCCAGGAGGACTGCGACCAGTTATACATCGGGGAAACAAAGCAGCCACTGTTCAAAAGAATGTCCCAACACAGACGAGCTACYTCTAATGGCCAGAACTCTGCAGTTTTCACTCATTTACAGGCCAGCGGTCACTCTTTCAGAGATGAGGATGTTCTCATTCTTGATAGAGAGGAACGTTGGTTTGAGAGAGGAGTAAAAGAAGCCATTTTTGTGAAGAAAGACCGTCTATCATTAAACAGAGGTGGAGGCCTCCGTTTTCAGTTGTCCCCCTCCTACAGTGCGACTATTGCCAGTATCACTCCACCCCCGGTTAACATTAGGTGTTAATTAGGTGTCAACGATAGCCATGTGATGTGAGTATCAGTCACATGGAGGCAGGGCTTAAAAGCCTGAATTTTGCCTGAAACTCTCAGACTGAAGAAGTCTCTTGGAGGAGAGACGAAACGTTTCATTAGAGAAGAACCCGTCCAGAAGACCTATACAATTTTTTCTCTTCATGATCATAGTGAACAAAACATCCTCTTACTGAAATAATTTTACTATAATTTATCAAATCCTCACAGCTGTTWAAACACAGAATTTTACCACTTAAATACAAACATTCATATCTTTGTGAAGCAGGTTTTTGTTTTTATCTTATTMTTTCCTTATTTTTAGCTGATTTTTATGTCTTTGTAGCAAAGTAAGACTGAATGTTGAAAGTAAAAGATAAAAAAAATTGCTATTTTAAGTATGAGATTAAACATTACATTGTTAGTATTTAGTGCACAAACTGAAAGGATCTGCATGTTCTCGACTCAGATAAAGAAGAATTGAGGGACTTCCCTGGTTAGTGGACACAAAAACACACGTCTTAGTTTCTCGGGGCTTTTAAGAGCTCTTCAGTGAGCAGAGAGCAGCGCTCACGTTCAGCTCAGGCGGGCTTGTTTTAGGGTCCATGTTCTCCAAACATCCTCACACAAAGGAGCAAACTCTTGTGGAACATGTTGCCTTCTGGGAGTGAACAGTACAATCAGGGCTGCTTCCCCTCAGCACCCCCCCCCCCCCCCCCCAAAAAAAAAAAAAAAAAAAAAAAAAGAAAATGGAGCCAGATATGCAAGAATTCACAACATGAACTGAAATTTATAAAATCTAATCCTTTTAAATGAAATAAATTCATTTTAATAGAGAGGTCTGGTGGGCAACATCTTTTTGTTCTGTGCAAAGGACKCCAAAGTCACCATCTCTGTCAGAATCTGCTGCCTTGTTGGCAGTAAAGTTTCTTGTTCTTACATCCTTTAATTCAAATGTTTTAATTAAATGAACAACATCGTTATCAGTGAAACTGACTTTTCAGTCCACCACAATAATGGCTGCTTAATAGACACAGATTCAGGATTGTTGTGTGAAGAAATTCATCTTTTAAAATTTTTTTAGTCTCATATCTTGTTTTCACTGTTCCTTACTTTAGAGATTTATAAAACAATACATAAAAGAAAAAATCTTTAACAACAAAAAGCACAAATGTTTGATGTAATTAAAGATAGCTATATTTTATTTTGAATAAGCTGACATTTTGATCAATTTTTTAATTAAAAAAATGTTCATTCAGTATTTCTGTTTAGATGTGATTGTTTACTTTGTGTATCTGTTTCCAAGCTAGAAAACTGAATATACTACTGCAGTAAACAATTCTTTGGTTTTAAAAACTAAATCTAAAACAACATGAGTATTAGATATTTGTAACGATGACAATATTAAGTAGCCATTTTCAACAGACGAATGAATCTTCTGAAAAAGAAGAAAATAAATGATTAACATCAGYATGCAGACTGTTTAAACACACAAACTCTGAATCACTGAAATCTGCACAATGAAAATGTTGAAATTCATAAATTGTAAATCAAAAGCTTCATTATTGCTAAAAAAAAACTACAAATCACATCAGAACTTAGAGGTAAATTTCTAAAAATTGCTCCATTTTGTATTAAATGTGATCTAATGTACAGAATATAGTGCATAGAAGACAAAAACTATGTTAGATCAAGTCAAAAATATTTTAACATATTTATTTTTAAATTCCATATCAATCCATCAAAACATCATTTTTAATAAATGAGTTTTATTTTGATCAAAAATTAATAATTTCAATAAAGATGAGCAAAATATTAATGGAGTTTCAGTTAATTAACAGATTATAAAGGAAAAGTGGAGGGAGGATGCACCTGTCGCGGGGGCGGGGCTAATGATGTCACCTAAAGCTGAGTGGGGGAGGGGGTCTCCCTCCGCCTTTCTCAGGGGAAAGTTCGGTCCTAAGGACCTGTGTTACTAAAGAACAAACAAACACAAGGSGATAATATGTCGTTTTAGCTCTTATATATAATTATCACCTACATGACGCTTTACTGACGACAGTTTGGATTATTTTACAGTCTGAAGTCTTACAGGTGAGAGGGAAGCTTGTTCCGCGGAGGGAGACTGAAGAGCACCGACATGAGAAATTTGATCCTGCTGGTGTTTCTGCTGCTGCTCCTGTCTGCAGGTCGGTGACATTTTAACAATAAACACCTTTTTGTGTTTGCGAAGCAGGTTTAGCTCTTCTGGGTTTTAAAGTCAAGCAATTAAAAACAAGAGGAGAGGAAAAAAAMCAGCTCAGAGTCGAAACTAACTGTAGAGACATGAAGTTAATAATAAACAGAGTAAACAGCGTCTGTTTACAGACCACACTGCTGGTTCCCACCTAAAACTAAAAGTTACTCCACCCAGTGATTAWAAAGAACATTTTCTGTATCATCATCATTTCAAAAACTAAATTTATAACCCTGTTTCAATTGGTTTTAATGGACAATTTTAACAATAGTTTCGAGGTCACAGAATTAAACAAAGCTGCTGTAATTTTATTGTTAGAACAAAGTGAAACAAAACTCCCTGGATATCTTTCAACCTTTACCCCGAAGAAACTTTGTTTACATCACAGTTTTAGTCTTTATTCTTTATCCTGAACACTTCTGTGTTTGTTTTTTTACAAACCCGAGGTTCAACATCCACCCCAGACTTTCATCAGTGGTGCCACAGGGGTGGGGGGCTTCCTGCTGGGGTCATGGCCACCCTTAAGAAATTGGTGGCCCTCTATTTTCTTACCTTGGCCAAACAGTTTTATCATTTTTATAGATATTTAGGATTAGTAGAACCCCATTACCATAAAAACAAACGTGTTTTCCAGAAATTATTTTCTGGCTTTTTAGTTTTGGTGCCAATCTATCAAAGTATTTACTGAGGCCGCACAGTTTCACAGCAAAACAACAACAACAATATAAGTGACTCGTGGTCTAAATATTTGTGGTAAATATTCCAAAAATGTTCACTTCTTTCTTCACAAGCAGTGGCGGTTTCTCAGGAGTAAGATTTTCTACAGTATATTATACAGTTCTGTGCAGAAACATTAAGAATATTTTTCTGCATCTTCATTATTTAATTTATATTGTATGAGGTAATTCCTAAAAACACCAGCTGCAATTTTGCCAAATACAAAGTTATTTGTGTAGTTTTGCTCTACAGCTTATTAAGAATGTTTTACAATCGTATTAATTCAAATATGAAATAAATCTATGTTAAAACTAAGTTGCTTTTTTTCTTGGTCAAACTTACTTAAAGTCACTAATCTGAAAAATGTTGGACTGAAGTAAAACGGATGATGATGATGTTCAGTTTATTTCAGAGTCAAGAAGTTGATTTGATTCAATAAATAAAAAATAAATATTAGTCTGCTGTAAAGCGGGCACTGTACCGGTCCGTTGTGGTGAAGAGAGAGATGAGTCAGAAAGCGAAGCTCTCGATTTACRGGTCGATCTACGTTCCTACCCTCATCTATGGTCATGAGCTTTGGGTCATGACCGAAAGAACGAGGTCCCGGATAC